ACTTAGAAACCCTTTGACTGTACTAATATGGTAACCACATTTAAATGTGGTTAAATTTGAATTATCTAAAAGTAAATACAATTTAAAATTGAGTTGTGTCACATTAGCCACATTTCAAGTGCTCAATTCCCACATCTGGTCAGTGGCCACTGTACTAGAAAGTACCAATCGACAGCATTTCCATCACTGTAGAAAATTCTACTGGACAGTGGCTGCTAGAAGTACAATCCTCCACCATCAGACCCCTGAAATTACTTCATGACAGCCCACGTTCTTTTCTGGCTTCCACTGAAGACCTTAAACCATGACCAATGCCCGCCATCCCAGACAAGACTACTGTGTGGTCATTTTAAGACAGCCCAGCCAAAGGACCGACAAGGAACCAGAGGCTAGCAGCAAACGGAAGGCATCTCAAAGAGTGTCTCCATCTGTCTTTTTGCCCACCTGGCACTGTTCATTGTCCCAGATACACCAGGAGAGGCTGCAGGCCACACTGTAGTTCCTGTGAGCAGAGCACACATAGCATGGTTTCTGTTGAGGAAGAAATAATGGGTTGGGTAAGGCACCAAGCTAGGTAAGTGGTGGAGTCTGGATTTGGGGAGGGATGTGAGTTTCCATCTCCTCTCACCAACCTGTACAAGCAAAAGAGTTTAACCACGGTTGAGTGGTGGGTTTCTGGTGGGCAGACCCAACACCAAGGTGAGGACGCAGAGGATGAATTCCCCGTAGAGCAGAATCTGTTTCTTCCATAGAGGCTGAGCTTCCCACATGCACTGGAAAATCTTAAGCCAATTTCCCAACTAATTCACGAGCTAACTGAGACCAGACTGCTTCTCATCATGCTACACAGTCATGCCATTCCATGCATCCTAGGCTGAGCCTTCATTTAGATTACAAATTTCCCAGCACAGTTGTTACTGGTAATTAAACCTACTTGATTTTTCCATTACATAAAGATTACATGACGGTAAAGGAATTAAACATAACTAATCTTTATCTCATTTCTAAATGTGCACGGAAATGAGACCCAACAAGGGTAGAAAAATCTGTGAAAGATGGGCGCCCATCAGTTTTTGGCAGGTCTGGATCATGGAAACTCAGAGATTTAAGGCATTTTAATATACAAGCGTATATCTGTTTTTATTGTTACACAATGAAAATTAAACATGAATGAAAAAACGTCATGAATTACTTTGAAGAATCACATTGGCAGTACCAGGAAATGAATTCCCAGCAATTTACATTTTTGTGATCCAGGGCTGTTCTAGAAGCATTTTTCCAGTATTCCCCATCTAACCTTTTGTTCCCAGTCCACAATCGCTGCCAGAAAAATAAAGGACTGCCTCAGGTCATCGACTTCTTGGCTGAAGTGCTTATCCAGACTTCCTGGGCCTGGCTGATTTCCACTCTTTTATTTTTTCAGATTCGAGTTCCATTTCTCCCCCTTTCAAAGTGTAGACTTATATCAGAATCATGCAAGGGTCTGGTTGGAAATGCAGATGCGTCTGTATTGTGAATGAGGCCACAGCCCAAGAGACTACATGTTTAATTAGCCCCCAGAAGATTCTCGTGCAGACTAAAGTTATTTGCCGCCATATTTGACATCAAAGTCCTCAACAACGAGGATCAACTGTCAGGTGTCCCTATATGTCCAACATCCAACTTGATGCCAAGCCCAAGAATGAGCGCTCAGCCTTGAAAACATGCTGAACCAAATTCACAAGCTCTTTCCTTTTTAATGGGTCTTTTACCAAAAAGCAAGGACCACTTTAAGTAGGGATCTGTACACTTCAGCCCACTTTGTACAAAACAATCCACTCAACTTCCCTGGAGTCTCTCCTGAGCTGGACCTGCCCCAGTTGCCAACTCCCAAGCCCAGAAAAGAAGATTGTTCCAGTGCTACCAGGAAGGGTACCTCCTGGCGCTGGTGGGCACCAACTGCCTTCCCTCTGGGGATGCTACATCACCCAGTGTTCAAAGGAGGTGGCCTTATCCTCTCAACATCAAACGTCTCCCTTGGGAGCACTTAAACTAGTGTCTTCACCCTTACAACAGAATCACCTAGAAGCTTGCTCACAAATGCCTGTTCCTAGATGCATTTCCACCCTGAGATAAGTACCTGTAGGGTGGGATTTGGGGCACTTAGATGTCCACGCAGCCTCCTCGCCCCCAGATGATATTGATGCTGAGGATGCCTGACCCATTCATAAAGGAATTTCTAGTTCAACCTAGTCCTCAAACAACGCTGTCATCTTCCTCTGCTAAAAGGGGAGAAGGCTGTGCCTCCTGAACTCTCTCTGACTTGCCAGGGGGAGGGGTGGGGAGTGGATGGAGGTGATGGGAGAAGTGTCTACTCCTCCATTACCCAGCCCAGCAATTGTAACGGTCATCCCCTGATGGATACGTGAGAACGAATGTGAAAGCTGTCCCCTGAGACTTCCCTGCAAGAGTTTAGAGACCCTCTGCAAATTGAGGAAGGAGTGGAGGAAACTCCCATTTCTTGAGCTTTATTTATCTCCTTAGGAAAGTAATGCTCAGTGCTCAGTGTTTCCTTACACCTTACCTTCTCGCCACAGCCCACCCAGACCCCACTGCCTACCCCCAGACAGAATTAATTGCTTCCCCGCTGCTCCTGGCCCCCAGAGCACTTTAGCTACCCTCCCCGATTAGAGCACTTATCTGGCATTAACGCTAATTGGTGCAGGTCTTTTCCCCAGACATCCTTTGCTCCAAAGGCTGGCTGGTATTTTCTTTAACTCTGTACCACCCAGGCCTGGCCTTAAGGTGCTGCTCAACAATGTTTCCAGGTGGGTGGACTGCAGATAAGCTTCACCCTGGCCCCTGGGATGTGCTCTTATGAGAGAAATGCACATGGAGGTGTTGGCTTTGCAGGCTGGCCTGAAGCTTTTTATAGCTTTGCTTTTCTTCAACACGTTTTCCAGAATTATGTCACTACCAACAAATCTGTGTGCAAAAGCTACAGAGACAAGTCATTTCCTCTAAAAGACATTGCCCATTAATCTTAAATCCTGTATTGTTTTGCAGATATATATATATATATATATATAAAATCTTCTTATTATGATGCATTTTACCTTGTGATGTTCCCTGTGCTATGGCTTCCAGCATTACAAAAGCCATAAAAGCTAAGTGTTTTTCCAGCAGTATTTCTGATCTTGAAAGTAGATGCCCTGCATATAGCCTTGGTATACAGCAAAGCACCTCAGGACTCTGCTTTTTACATGAAGGCAGTCCAAACTCCTGCTACATTCTGATTTTCTGATGTCAGGAGTATGGATGGGGATTTTTCAGAAGGTTTAAAGCATTTTTTTTCTTGTTCCTTCAGTGCAGACTTTTGGAAGAGCTGCCCCCACCCAACTGCCTCCAATCTCTCCTGACTTCCAATCCGTCTCCCACCCTGATTCCACAGAGATCTTCCTGAAAACCCAGACCTGTTACTCCTATTCCTTTAGAAAGAAGGTCAACCTCCATCTGCTGTGGCTTCCAAAGCCTTTTCCTCTATTCCCAGGGCTCTACTCTACAAAATGCCTTTTTTTTTTTTTTTTTTTTTTTTTTTTTTTTTAGCGTTTCATTTCCCGGCCCCAGCCGCTCCGTGGCATGTGGGATGTTCCCGGACCAGGGCACAAAACCGTGTCCCCTGCATTGGCAGGCGGACTCTCAACCACTGCGTCACCAGGGAAGCCCTGAGCTTAGTGGTTTTAAAGGTCTTGGGAACCGTGGCCCAACTGTCCCATGACCCAGGGCCACATTGTGATTTTCATGGGCCCTAGGTAATTTTGGGTTTATGGACACCCCTTCCTCCATAAAATGAATTCTATTTTAAGATTGCACTGGTATAAAGATGAATATAAGCCAGGCTGGATTCATTATTATATTTTGCATATTATTGTATTCATTTTCTTCGTTTAGAAGAAATTAAAATTAAAGCATTTTCATGGGGTCTTGAAATTCTTGAGGACCCCGGGCACTGCACCTTCTGTGCAGGATGGAGAAGTCAGCCCAGCCTTCAGCCTCTGAAGTGACCTCTGAAGTGTCAGCTCAAACCAGGCTCCCTCTCACTGGTCTTCTCCAGCTACTTCTGGGGTCTTTGCACAAACTTGTCCTTCCTGGAACGCTCTCCCTGCCCTTCTCCCTCTCAGCGCATCAGCATCCCCTTCCAGTACAGATCACTGTGCTCTACCCTCAGTTTCTGATCCAGCAGCCCCCGGGGTGGGACCCAAGAATCTACCTATTTTTAACAGCACACAGGTGGTGCTGATGTGGACGGTCGTGGCTGGTCCCAGGACCACACTTGGAGAATAGCTGCTTTCGACGTCAGCTCCGCTGTCAATCTCTTTGGTTAGCCTTCTCTGATCTGTTTCTCCCTCACATGCTCTCCAAGGACTAAGGACTTCTGCTTTATCTATGTAATTTTTTGATTCGTGTCTCTCTCTCCCATTTGACTGTAAGCTCTGCGGTGTCTTTTCGCTCACTGCGGGAGCTGCATCCAGCACAAAGTAGTGCTGGGTAGTCATGTGTTGACTGCTGTTTAGAAAAGTTGAACCAACTTGACCTCCTAGCAACACGGAGGGCGAGTGTAAGAATCCTTTCAACTTACCAGCACTGCATTTTCACTTTTTTCTTTATTCACAGTTGTCAATTTCAGAATGCCTCATTTACCTCCGGCATTTGAGGGGGAGCTGAGAGCTACTTTGCGCGACCTGGAGGGCGCGGCGTTTAAGCCCCACTAGCCCCGCCCTCACGTCTCGCCCCGCCCCGATCCTCCGCCTACGGCTCTCGGCTCAGTCCTGCTTCCGACCCTAGAGCCCGCCCCATCCCCGCCTCCGGCCACAGGCCCCGCCCCATATCCGGCCCCAGGCCCCGCCTCTCTCCCCGCCCCAGGCCAAGAGCTGCTCTGCGCATGCCCGTCCGGGCGATTTGTTTTTCATCCCCAGCCCGCCCCGGGAGGAGTTACGGGAAACAAACTTTCCCGGGGGAAGATGTGGCGATCCTCTGCCCCCCAGGAGCCAGTCAGGTAAAGCCTCCCCGGCCCTGGCACCCCGAGCCCTGCCTGGCCCGGCCTTGATCGTGGCGAGGCCGAACAGATCGCTGGCCACGTATGACCGGCGCCTTTTGGCTACTTTTTGCTGAGCCCCCTTGCCCACCCTCCAAGCCCGCTCTCCGGGCGCTCACCTCTCTTGGCCGCTCGCAGGGTCCCTGGGCCTTCGCAGCTTCTCCCGCCAAAGACACAGCCGTTTGTGGCTATCGTGGGTGCCCAGGCCTCCCCCAAGGGCTTCTCTCTTCCGCTCGCCCGGTCTCCGGAGTCCGACCTCAGGGACTGCGAGGCCGCGCCATGCAGCTCAGGGTTCAAGGTCGGGATCTTGGGTCTCAGTTACGTAACCTCTCTGAGCCAGGACGTGATCGTGTTTTCACCTTAATGAGAAAAGCATGGGAAGAAGGTGAGATGAGCCCATGCCCAGAATGGGGTGGCTGCTACTGTTGGTGTTTTTATGGCGATTACCCCAAGGGCCAGCCCCCTAACGGGGACGTTTTTGCAGACTTTTGCTTCTGCTGGTCCCTCTGGTCAGTTCTGGGCGCCTCTTAAAAGCCACACTTTTAAGTAGTCCCTCGCATTCCCGGTAGGGACAGTTTCCTTTTCTGGACGCGGGCTTGTGGGCACGGGATGCGCTCTGGAGTCCCCTCCAGTGCCAGCATTCCGTTTCTCTTTTCAGGCCATTTGGTCCCTTTTGACATCCGCTGCTGTTACCCAACCACATTACTGAGCATCCTGCCTCGCAGAAAGAAGCAAAAAATAGCAAACATCTCTGGCAACAACTGCCTAAGGACTGAGACATTTATGATAACATGTTACCATTCCTTGGGCCCTGAGTGTCAGCCACAGAACCATGTCATTTAATCATCACAAATATCTTCAACATGTCACAGATGAGGAAAGGGGGGCTTAGAGAGGTCGTTCCTAACGCTTTGAAACCAGGTCTACCTCACTTAAATACCCGATTTTGCCCCTTAGGGAAAACTGCCTTAACCATAGAAAAGTTAAAATCAAACTGTTAGTTTCTAGGGCTGCCATAACAAAGTATCCCAAACTGGATGGCTTAAAACAACAGAAATGTATTCTTCCACAGTTCTGAGGCTAGAAGCTCAAAATCAAGGAGTCAGCAAGGCCATGCTCCCTCTGAAGGCTCTAGGGAAGGACCCTGCCTGCCTGTTTCAGCTTCCGGTGGTCCCAGGCATTCCTTGGCTTGTGGCACCATCACTCCAATTTCTGCCTCATCTTCAGATGACCTTCTTCCCCATATATGTGTCTCTCTGTGTCGTCTCGTCTTCTTATAAGGACACCAGTTATTGGATTTAGGGCCCACCCTAATCCAGGATGATTTCATCTCGAAATCCTTCACTAATTGCATCTGCAAAGATCCTGTTTCCAAATATCATCCTGTTTTCAAGTAATGGTTGTTTTGGGGAGGGGACACTATTTAAGCCACTTCACAAACCAGCAATAAAATACACTTGTCAAAAGGACCAAAACAGACCCATAGTTACGGATTCAGGGCATCATTTGTGGTTATAAATCTAAATACTTGGCTTTTACTAAGTCACAGGTGGACCCAGCAATCTATGTTGTAACAAGACCTCTGGGTGATTCTGTTGCTGCTTAAGTTTGGGAACCACTGTTACAAGGCATCTGAAGACAAGGGTTTGATAATGTGACATAAGGTCCAGGTTAAGAGAAAGTCCTTAACCTTATGATGGTCTAACCTTACAGTGACTTGCTCTGAAAACCTGTCTTCCTGAATATTATTATGGATTTCAACACTGAGCTATTGCACTGTTGAAAGAATATTTACCATTACTTTAAATTAATTTAGCTTTTGAAGTGAACTCAGGTACGAAACTGTGTTCTTAGTAGTTTTTTGCCTCATTTTAGCTTGCCAACAGTCATGTGATTTGGGTATTATTACTGCTGCCATATTATTAAAAAGTACACTGAGACTCAAAAATGGTAAATGCCAGACACACAACGAAGCAGAAACACTGTCAGGATTAGGAACTTTTTTTTTTTAGGAGTATAGATGCTCTACAATATTGTGTTAGTTTCTGCTGTACAATGAAGTGAATCAGCTATATGTATACGTATATCCCCATATCCCCTCCCTCTTGAGCCTCCCACCACCCCCCATCCCACCCCTCTAGGTCATCACAGAGCACCGAGCTGAGCTCCCTGTGCTACACGGCAGGTTCCCACCAGCTATCAGTTTTACACATGGTAGTGTATATATGTCAGTCCTAATCTCCCAGTTTGTCCCACACCCCCCTTCCCGCGCTGTGTCCACACATCCATTTTCTATGTCTGCCTCTCTATTCCTGCCCTGCAAATAGATTCATCTGTACCATTTATCTAGATTCCACATATATGCGTTAATATACGATTTTGTTTTTTTTTATGACTTACTTCACTCTGTATGACATCATAACTCTGGTTACTAAACTGTTTGGTTTGTTTCCATTTTAGAAACAGTTTGATAGATGACGCTAAGGCCCGCTTAAGAAAACATGACGTTGGGACCAAATATTCTCACTTGTTGTCTAACAAATGTTCCATCCTTTTACCGTTGTTGGCTAAAGAAGGAAAACTCTACCTGTTGTTCACCCTTCGGTCAGAGAAGGTAAGTGACAAAAAGGCTCCTTCCATTAAAGTCTCAGGACATGCGAAAACCCCATGAAATGCTGTCACTGGCACATATTTTGAGGTTCTAGATTCTCAACTGTACTCTCAAAATTGTGATGTTCGAGAAGTACATGAAGCCACAGGATAACAGGGCTGTTGTGCAGAAGTTTTGGAAAGTAAAATAAGTAATTTAGCTAGCAAGTAATTTAAAATACTTTTAGGCCAGGTTTTCTTATCCAGCCATTGGCATTTGGGCTGGATAATTCTTTGTTGGTGGAGTTGCCCTGTGCATTATAGGATGTTTAACAACATCCCTGGCCTCTACCCACTACATGCCAGTAACACACACACACACAGGCACACACACACACACTCACACACACTTTTGTGACAACCACAAATGTCTCCAGACATTGCCTACTGTTTCAGTAGGGATGGGGAGGGGATAAAATTGCCCCCACTGAGAGCCACTGCTTTAGGCTACTCCCGCCCCAGGTATAATGTGATCACTGAAGTTGACAGCCTGGGCCCTAAGCTGGCTGCCTATGTTCGAATGCAGAGTCTTGTTGAAGCTGTGTGACTTTGTCCTAATTAATTACCCTCTCTGTGCTGTAATGTCTTCACTTGCAAAATGAGGACAAGCTATTAGTACCTGCATCATAGGGCTGCTGAGGGCTTTACAGGGTAACAAATGTAAAGCACCTAAAACAGCACTGGCACTTGGCAAGGATTCAGTAAGTCTCAGCTGTCACCATTAGTGTCATTAGCACATGTGGCCTGAGTTTTTATGATAAATCGTTCCACTTTAAAGAAATGTTGGGCTTGGGAATGGAGTTCCCCTGGGTACACCCCTGGGTACTGTCACTCTCCCTTGCTATTGGGGGTACTTCTGAGGAAAAGTTGGGGAAGCAGTCATTTCAAAGTTATCCTAGTACAAAAAAGAAAACAGGCCACAATAATGAGAAAATAGGCTTTGTAAGCAGAATAAGAAGTATCCCTTGGGTGGGGCCAGGGGGAAGCTGAGGAATCAGCTGAAGTGTTTTGGGTTTGGGATTAGACATGTGTGGATTCTCTGTGGTCTGGGTCTGGCAACAATGACATAAACACATGAGATGATGAAAATCCAAGTTCCAAGGTGAGGTACTCAGTGGGAAGCAGGGACCAGGGTCTGTTCCCAGCTCTGCCAAAATCACCAGAGAAGCACTTAAATACATTTTTAATATTATCAGACAGACAGACAGTAATGTAGAAAATCTAGAGAACCCCAAAATGGGTCTCGGTTTCACTCGGAGTTGCTTTGCCTGTTGATTGTTATGTAAGAATCATCTTAGACCACAAATTCTGATGTGAAAAGGTCACTTTTTTTTTCAAAGAAGTATTTCAATCTAATTACATACGACTTTAGGCCCTGTTTGGCTGTGGGAGTAAGAAATTCCCTGAGGCATTACTGGAGCTGTGTCCCTCCCTGGAGTCGTATAAGCAGGGCCCCAGGAGGCAGACAGACAGACAGATGATAGGTGATAGATGACAGACAGACAGACTGATAGATGATAGATAGATAGATAGATAGATAATAGATTATAGATAGATAGATTATAGATAGATGATAGATGACAGATAGATAGATGATAGATTATAGATAGATTATATATAGTCTGATAGATAGATGATAGATAAGCAGGCAGATAGATAGATGATAGATAGATAGATGATAGATGATAGGTGATAGATGATATAGATAGATAGATGATACACAGATAGACAGATGATAGGTGATAGATGATAGATGATAGACAAGACAGACAGACAGGTGATAGGTGATGATAGATAGATGATAGATTATAGATAGATAGATGATAGATAGATGTTAGATATATGATAGATAATAGGTTATAGATAGATTATAGATAGGTGATAGATAGATGTTAGATATATAGATGATAGATGATAGACAGAAGGACAGATAGATGATAGATAGATGTTAGATGATAGACGATAGATAGATGATAGAGATATATATCTGATATATACAGATATAGATATCTGATATATATAGATATCTGACATATATAGATATAGACATCGGAATATATATCTGTATCTCAGAATATATGTATCTATATATATACCTGAGTCACTCTGCTGTGCACCAGAAACTAACACAACATTGGAAATCAACTATACTTCAATGAAAAAACATATTAAAAATATTTTCTTAAGGGTTAATTTTATGTTATGTGAATTTGACCTCAATTAAACAAACACTTTAAAAAATAGTCACTTACAGAACTGTTCTGGGGACTCAGTGAAAAGAAATGCACGTGAAGCAGCATGCCCAGAACATGGTGAGCACTCAGTAAAGATTATGGATGACACTGCTGTTTTCATTCTCCTTTTGTTCTACTTTTTTTCCTCATCCATGTAAATTTGTTTGTGCGTGTATGGTATCTTTGGAGGGCAAGGAGAGAAAAATCAGAAGTGAGGGTAGTTCTCCAAGTTCATTTTTTAAAAGGATTCAAGAAAAAAAAAAAAACTTTTCTTTTTGGTCCTTTTCCCACTTATTACCACGAGTGTGGGAATGGTCTCTGGCACAAGATAGAAATTCAGCGCATACTTGTTGAATGAGTGAACAGTACCAAACTTGGAATCACACACTGCAGCTCTTTTCTTTCCACATCCAGCTGAGAAGGTCACCTGGAGAGGTCTGCTTTCCTGGAGGCAAGTACGAACCTACAGATGCGGATGACGTGGCCACGGCTCTCCGGGAAGCCCAGGAGGAGGCGGGGCTGCATCCTCATCAAGTGGAGGTCGTCTGCCGCCTGGTACCAGTGCTGTTTGATGTAAGGCTTGGGATGGAACTGGGTTTCTTAGACTCTCATGAGCTCACAGTGGATACACTATCTTCAGGATTCCACGTTTGGCCAAACATGACCCTCAAGAGTGCTATACCGAGTCACGAGACTGGTTCATGTGTCGACTTTGCCCCTTTGGAGCTAAGAGGCCTTAGGCAAGCCCCCCTTCCTGTATGGGCCCCTTCTTCCCCATCCAGAAATGAAAGGGCTGAACTCCATCAGTGGTTTTCAAACCAGGTGCTGTGGAACCCTGAAGATGCCTCAGAATTGTTTCATTAACATTCAGTTCACATTTATTTTTCTCCAGTATGCATTTATTTTGAGAATTCTCTTGAAACAATAATACACACTTGAGCATAACAAATTTCAGCCCCTCGGAGGCCACCAGGGTATCACTTTTGCCCTAAGGATACTCATTTTTTTTTTTTTTTTTTTTTTTTTTTTTCGATATGTGGGCCTCTCACTGTCGTGGCCTTTCCCGTTGCCGGATGCGCAAGCTCAGCGCCCATGGCTCACGGGCCCAGCCGCTCCGCGGCACGTGGGATCCTCCCGGACCGGGGCACGAACCCGTATCCCCTGCATCGGCAGGCGGACTCTCAACCACTGCGCCACCAGGGAGGCCCAGGATACTCATTTTTGCACATACCGTGGAACCAAGTTTCTCCATGTCACATTAATTGAGCAGTATCCTGAGATCACTAGGGAAGCTGTTTAAAAACAGTTACTACTTGTAACTGCATTTCTGTGTGAAGCAGGATTTCCTTGATAGTATATACCAAACAAACAAACAAACATAACAACAAAATGAATCCTGGGGCTGAGATAGCCAGACCTTATTTCATATGAACTGAACACAACAATTTCGTTGTTGTACTAATTGACTTTAGAAGGAGGAGTAAATTTGAAGTTGGATAATAGCGTTGTTTTATCAGTATAACATTATTCATATAAACTTTTAATTTTAGAATACTGAGAGATTCACGGAAAAGTCACAAAGATATCACAGAGAGTTCTCGCGTACCCGTACACGGGTCCCACCATTATTGACGTCGGACATCACTGTGGTACATTGGTGACAACTAAGAAACCAATGTTAGTACATTACCATTACCTCAACTCCACTCTTGTCTTTTACTAGTTTTTCTACTAATGTCCTCCTTTCTGTCCTGGATGAGATCCAGGACACCATGTTGTGCTTGGTTGTCATGTCTCCTTATTCTCTGATCTGTGACAGTTTCTTAGCCTTCCATGACCTTGACACTTTTGAGGTGTACTGGTCAGGTATGTTCTAGAATGCTCCTCAATTGGGGTTTTTCTCCTGGGTAAGCTAGGGTTATGGACTTGAGGGAAGAATATCACAGAGGTGAACTGTACTCATCACATATCAGAGGTAGGTGTAAATTTTTTTATGTTTTAAATAGTATCGGGCTTCCAGGTGAGTTTTTATGTCGAAGGAAGAATCCCACTGATACCTAGAAATTAGAGAACCAGATCGCCCTTTGTGAAGATCGGTGGTGCTGAGATGTGTCTTAGTTGGGTGCATTTTAAAAATAGAAAGGTCACCACTCGAGGGAGATTTAGTTTGGAAGAAGCTACTGGCCACAAATGCATCCTTGATGGAAAAGAAATGAGACAGAGAAAAGGAACATGGGATTAGGACAAGATACGTGTCAATTACTTCCTCTTCAACTATGTTTTCTACTGGGAGCCCTTTTCAGAGGATGTCTGCAAATCCCCCAGCACATCTTAGGGATGGATTTTAGAACTCTTGACAAAACGCATAATGGTTTTAAGTTCCCAAAGTAAGAGTAACTCCATTTCCAAGGTCCCCAGGAGCTACTGAGTTCTGCCCTTGAGGGGACAGGATACAACAGTCTTCACAGGTGTTTATCGGTCTTCAGGAGATTTCCGTGGACCAGACGCTCCCGGAGCAGGAGGTTTCTAAGATGACCTGCTCTTGATATAATGCTGATTACATCAACGAGAAATCAGAATGAACAAAGGCTTTCAAGAAAGGTGTACTGTGTTTAGAAGTGCTAGTGAGGGTCCTTTTGTTTTTTGGACCTTTCAGATCTTTTATATGTGCTACCAAAATGCCATTTATTTAATGTCTAGAAGCCTAATCTAATCCAGTGGTTCTTAAGTGGGGGTAATTTTGTCCCCCAGGGAACCCAGAGCAATGCCCGGAGATGTTTTGGGGTGTCACTGGCTTTTACCCACACCCGGCGTTAACCCTCCCACGCCTTCCAGCCCCCAACCTGCTTGTCCTTTTGTCATACACGTATGAACTTCTCTCTGCAAAGGCCTTGGGGGACAGTTCTCCTTTTTCTCTGTACGTGGCCCATACCTGCCCGTCTCGATCCTTTTCTTTGCCTCCCAAAGGCCCAATTCCTGTAACATTTCAGTGGCGTATCCTGACTTCCGGAGATGTTTCTCATAGCCTGCAGCTTCTTCCAGGGGCCCTAAAGCCTGCCTCACCCTATGTCCACAGCAGAAGCCTGTCTCCATGGCATTTCAACTCAGCAAATGGCCAAATTCAGAGTTTTATGGGTCCTAGGATGTCTGCCATGCACCACCTTTTTTTCGCCTGCCAATTCAGACACCTGTGTTTCTAGAGACCGGATGTCCAGAGATGCTGCTTCGTCCACAGATTCCCACAGTCTCTCTTACTCTTGTAAGCTTGAACCATGTTGAACGTGCCTGACTCTGCACCTGAAACATTCGGTCTTAAACCATGATCTCCTTTAGAGGCTTTGATTTTTTTTTTTCCCCCCACCAATTTCCTCAGACTCTGACATGCCAATTTAAGGGCCGGCACCGCCATGCAAAGTCACTTTCCATGCACCTGCCTAACAAGTATGGCCCTCAGTCCTCGGGAGGGGATGAAATCTGAGCTGCAGCTGGGAATTCTCCACCGTCATATTTAAGCCACCCGCTAGTGTGCCATCTTGGAGATATGGTGACACGTGTTTGATAGAATTTGAGTGTGTGGGCAGCAGGCCCATGGTCGAATCCTGGTTTCTGCCAGGTGTTAGCTGGATGTGACCTTGGGCAAGTTTTTTCTTGTCCAGTTGCCATTGTTCAAGCTTCCTCGTGGGCAGGTTGTTGTGAAGAATCAGGGGGAGGGTGTTGGATTCTAGAGAAGGTTATGGTCTTTGAATAGAAATAGCAGCCACGGATGCATGCTGAGCGATACTCCAGGCTCTGTACAGATGCCTTCTTAGTCATTTCAGGCCGTGTTTCTGATACACACACCAGCAGCTTTCTTCCAAGACCCGTGCCCTTGGACTACTGGAACCGCCTCCCCTGATGCACAGAGAGCAAGCACTGCCTTGATTTTCTTCCAGCCAGGCCGTCCTCAGCCAATGACTGAGCGGCATGAAAGCCCAGCCCCCTCATCTCGTGGGACAGACCCGAAGGTGCACTTTACACCCCGCAGGCCCCCGCAGCATCCTTGCCTGGCTCCCCCCTCGCCTCCCGTCTTTCTTCCCCGCGCCCTTCGTCACCACTTTCTCCTGGGAGCACTTCCTTAAGAAATCACTTGCATCTGAGTCTTCATCGCAGAGGCCGCCTTTGAGGAACCCTGGGACAGAAGAGGCTGAGCCTTCACACAGGGCCAGGCACAGTGAGGGCTGCTGCTGGAACAAAGCCTCTGGCAACTCATGACCCCAGATTTCCCACCCTAAGGGTGTCTAAAGTCTGTGCTCCCATTCTCCTCTCCTGGTCCAGATGTTGACTTTCATCGTTAATTTGGTTAATGGTCTGAGTCATCACTGTTCTTTTTTTTTTTTTTGGCTGCACCACGCGGCATGCAGGATCTTAGTTCCCCGACCAGGGATGGAACCCGTGCCCCCTGCACTGAGAGCGTGGAGTCCTAACCACCGGACCGCCAGGGAAGTCCCAGTCATCACTGTTCTTAAACATGCTTTAGCTGTCCTTCCTCAGAATTTTCCACGGGCCTGTTTATCCCCCTATAGAACCCCAGCCTCACAATGTATCCCTGGATTTTCCCACCCACTTCCTCTTAGGAGTTCTCCCAGGAATTCCTGATTCTTCTCACTTTCTAATTCAAGGTCATGCAGCCCTTATCAGCTCCTACACTAAACTCCAGGCCTCCCCCTCAAGATTTTCAGTAGAATCTTTCAGTTAACGGCACCCACCATTCATTTCAGCACAGTAGTGGTTGTAAATAGAAATACACACACACACACACACACACACACACACACACATATATATACATATATATAAAATTTTCCATAAATGGGAATATGCCACAATTAATATGATGTCACTTTTCTATTGATAAGATGGCACATACTTGTCTATACTGATAAGGAAAGGTATCTATCACATTCTTTTTAAGGGCTGCATAGTACCCCATTATATAGATATAGTCATGATTGATCTACCCTAAATATCCACTGAGCAGTGATAACTTTAGTTTGGGACTATTGCAAATAGTGCTTCAGTCTTGTACGTTTATCTTTTCTCACTGGTAGGAATTTATCATACAGATGTACTCACACAAATGCATTTTCAGGGCCAAAGGGAGCACACTTTTATAATATTACTAAATCTCTGTTCCAAAAGATTGTACCAGTTTATGTTCCCCAAAAATATCATTTTCAGACTCATCTGAGATGCTGCCTCAGGGGAGAGACCACTCCCATTTAGGGGCACATAAAGTTTCCTCATGGAGCAAGTTTTATGTAACTGACTGCTTTGGCCTGTGAGCTTGGCTTATGAAAAAGTGGGTGTGCTTTTAACCATATGCTTTTTTTGAAACTGGTATGTCTTCACTTCTCAGTTTGTATCTTTTGTGTTTTGCTTTCAGAGAGATACATTGATAACCCCTGTTGTAGGATTTATAGACTCCAACTTCCAGGCCAAGCCTAACCCCGATGAAGTGAAGAATGTGTTCCTGGTGCCCCTGGAATATTTCCTGCATCCCAGCGTCTACCAGCAGAATCACCTGACACGCTCTGGTCATCATATTATTATTCACTGCTTTGAGTACACGAACCCTGAAGATGGTGTGACTTATCATATCCGGGGAATGACTGCAAAATGTGCCTTGTTTGTTGCCTTAATTATTTTGGGAAAAAAACCTTCCTTTGAGGTTGAATTTAATCTCAACGATCTGATGTCATCCTCTGAAGAGTCTTTACTGAAGCTTCATAAACATGCTACAAGCAAGTTATGATTTATGAGACCAATACCCAAATAACTCTCTAAGTGGTGTTTGTGTGGGCTTATCCACAGAACAACAATAATGCCAGCTGTTGGAATTTGACAGGTACGAATGTTTCCTGCAATACGAAGGTAAAAACCTTGCCTTTTTTCCAGTTCCCCTCTATTATCTGAAAAAGCAAAAGTCTTTCAAAAGTAGAAAAATGGGGACTTCCCTGGTGGTGCAGTGGATAAGACTCCACACTCTCAATGCTGGAGGCCCAGGTTCGATCCCTGGTCAGGGAACTAGATCCCACATGCATGACGCAACTAAGAGTTCACGTGCCACAACTAAGAAGCCCACCTGCCACAACTAAGACCTGGTGCAACCAAATAAGTAAATAAAAATTTAAAAAAAAATTTTTTTTAAGTAGAAAAATGTGTTTATACTGTTGCATAATTTCACCCACAGTATATTTAACAATGCTTTCCTTACACATGTAAGAAAAAGGATCAGGCACATAGTAGGCACTTAATAAATATTTGTTAAATGTGTGATCTTGTGGCATTCATCTTGTTTGTAGGAGGTAATACCTCTGTCTGTCATTACATGTGACAGAAACTTCTGACCAGCCATGAAAATCCATCCTCCTTTTCTTATTTGGCAATAGAGTTGAATCTGAGCCCATAGCTGCCCAGGTAGAAACAGCATTACCTAAGTCCTGGTGCAGTTAAATGTAGCTCTGAAATTTACTTTAAGCCAGTGGGATGTGAGTGAAGATCGTTCTTGCAGTCATCTCCAATTTAAGGGACAAGCCAGATTCCCTGGATTCTCTTTCCCTTTTCCATGATTTATCTGCAACCCAGCCTTGACTACACAGATGAAGACAATTCCTGCAGGAAAGTTAGAGCCAAAAGATGGTAAGAGCTTGGATCTCTGAATGAGTCTGTGGAGCAAAGCAACCCACCATCCTGGACTACTCACTTGGGACTGTTACATGGGAGAAAAATAAAATTCTGTCATTTCTGCCACTGTAATTTGGGGTCACTGTTACAGCAGAGCTATAGCCCTAATAATACACCATAACACTTGGAAATGGTTGGATGGATATTCACCCAAACTTGAGGTGTTGCCAGCAATTAGAATTCAGGATGATCTGCATTTAACATATGAGTTCTGGGACGTGCACAGGACAACTTTAGGTGTTGGTGGGGTTTGGCAGTCATCATCCAAAATAACTGAAATGAAGGAATACGAGCGGCCTGCAATCAGGAGAGATAACATTATCTGTCTTAATATGACAGCAGAAAAACACTGATTTCAAGCGCAATCCCCAAATCAAAAGCCAAAGAGACAAACATTCTGAATCGCATGCCTTGAAATCTACCACACCTTACATGGGCATCACCATATATCATGCTTTACAGTTAGCAGGGATTTCTTCGTTTAATTATGGTATCAGCCGTCCTGCACCAGATCAGGGACGGGGGGCGGGGGGGGGGTCTTGAATAAAGCCACATAACCTCAATTGTACGATGGCACTTTCCCATTTTCCTGAGTACTATTAGATTTTTAGAAAGCCAGACCATTTTTAATAAGACTGTGTTGTAGCTGAAAATGTGATGCCCACAGTAAACTCATCAGTCAGCCATGCAACTGTCCATTGCTACTGAGTTTTGATGTTCCGAGAGCTGGCAGAGGAAAACATTTGATCTGCTGCTTTATACCCATAAATGTTGAAATGGCGCAAATCTGGCTCCAACCACGAAAGCAGATGGTGGGTGAGTTTCCCCATTAACATTCTGTAACTAGCCCTGCGTGAACAGGCCTACACTGTTTCCGAACAATTTTGGAGGCATTTGCAAATGTGTATTTACAATCTGACAGCGGTGTAATTGCCCCGGGTAGATGGTTGACCTCTCTGGCAGTGTGGAAAGCCACCTTTCTGAACTGTTTATGCGAACGCCACAGACCTGCCTGCTTTCTAAGAGGAGGTGGCCCAGCTGAAGTCTACACTCTGAATGACACCCATAGCCACCCACTTTAAGGGGCTTAGTGATGGAGGCATTGCCCCCACCCCCCTTTTAGTGGTGTTAAATATCCTGTTACAGGGACAGACATCTAGGAAGTGTGGCTCAAATAAAGGAAGTTATTGGCAGAGTACTGATCTCACGGAATATGCAAAACCACTGGAAAAATCAGTCTCAAGGAACAGCGATGGGGATCAACCCCTACCTCAAAGCAAGAGGATGTGAACCTTTACTTCTGCATCCTGTCGTCATTATAACAATAACCATCCTACTGAGTTTATTGATACAGACAGAAAAACAACAGAAATAGTGCTTCAGTCCCTCATGCCTCAGAGGAAACACCGTTTGGCCTCACTTGGGTAACCTGGCAGGTTTCCAGGAACCTACAGACATGTTCAAGGGCAGAGGTCAGAGTTGGGGCCACAATTGCATGTGTCTCCCTAAGTCCCCTGAGTCAGCAGGCTCTGTCTGGGTGGGAGCATTGCTGAAAATGGGGCGGGGGAGGGGCTGGATAAACATGCCCAAACAGCTACTGCCTCCAGTCCCGAAAATTTGTAAGGTCTGTGGATTCTGCCAGCCAGGCGTCTCAATTCTGTCTCCTTTGCATCCCTGCAGCCTTGGCAAGCAGGTGCTTAAGTCTGAGTCTAGAGTCAGGATGCCTAGATTTGAATCCCAGCTCCAGCATCAGTCCATTCGGCGACCTTTAGCAAGTTACTCATTCTCTATAGGCCTTAGTTTCCTCTTCTGTAACATGGGATAGAGAAACTTTTTATTTTGGGGCTATTGATGGGATTAAAAGAGTTAGTACGTGTGACCCCTTTACTTAAAGCACACCCAAATGCTCAGAATAATGCCTGGGAAACAGTAGCAGTATTACTGTTAGTAATTATGGCATTATTATAACTGTGACATTGTATCATAACAATAATAATAAGCATTGCTATTTCTCTAGTTCCGAATATTATCATTTTCCTATACCAGAAGTTCCTGAATTTTCTTGGTTCACAATGAGTACCCTTGGCATCTCAGTAATTTTTTCACAGTACATCCAGGCCATAGGAAACACCTAATAATTTGGTTTGTTATGTTATTATAGGCAAACAAGTTAACAAGTGTTTATGTCCTCCTAACTTGGTAGCCGTTTGAAAATACACTATATACTAGAAAAATACTATTTTCGTTTCAATTAAAAAAAACACAATTGCTTATTGATGGGATGTGTGCACCAGCTGGTCACCCAAGTAAATGGAAAACTCAAACACAGTCATATAATGGGAATAAACACACAGTCACAGAGAGGAGGGACAAGATTTGGGACTCAGGGAAGCCATCCCAGAAGAAGTGGTGGCTGAGCTGAGCTTTGATGGGTAAGGAGATGCTACCCAGGTGAACGGGATGGTGGTGGTGATGACGGGGACTATTCCTATTAAGCACCTGTTATATACCTGGCCCTTCACTTTGATTATTTCGTTTAACCCTCCACCAACTCTCTGCAGTGAGTACTATGGTAATTCCCATTTTTAGGCGGAAAAATTTGAGGGTCAGAGAAGTTCAGTATTTGCCCACGGTCACAGAGCCAACATCCAAATGCACAGGTATGAATTTCAAAGCCCAGATTCTTTCTACTACACCCACTGACTCAACATAAGACTCATTTCCTAGGGACGGAGGCAAGAAGAGAAGGTTAACTTTATGTTTCCCTTGAATTACCACGTGGGAAAGGGAAAGCAAAACTAAATAAATTGGGAGAGGGCAGAGTTTATTTTTGCCTTTGTCATGTCCTCCAGCTTATTCAGCTGGTGTTGCACACAGTGAAACGAGTGATTAGCTACGATGATTTTAATTAAAATGGAACATACCAATAAATAAATGAGAGTGCTGGCATCCTTGCTCATTTAACAATTCCTTTCATGGTGCCAGCTTTCCGGTTAAAGAAATGAGATGGGGCAACGTTCCTCCACCCTTTAGACAAGATGAATAAATATAATTCAAGTCTTTTTCTCGTTTCCAGTTGCTTTCTTACCTGAGACTGGCACAAAGTTTTGATAAAATTGCTGCCATCATCAGCCCCTGGTCCAGCTGTCTTTGACGTCGTATATTGGGGTCCCTCCTAGGGGCTGTGTATAGACTCCATTCAGAAATCCTGACTGCCCTCCCAGCATCACTCAGCCACCTCCCTCTGCCTTCCCGTGGCTGCACACCACTCAGACTTAAGAGTCAAGTCCTCTATGCCAACTCCTCCAACCACCCCTATTTCACAGCTCGGACACCGCTTCCTCTCACCCCTTTGCGTACCTGTTTAATATATGTATATCTTTCTGCTTATTCCAGCCATGACCCTGGAAGGAACAGATCCACAAACCATGAGACCCCCTCTGTCTGACTTCCCCTGGCCTCTGGTGAATGGACCAAGGATCCATGGCCAACCCAAAGGTAGCATCTGATTTGACGGCCAGTAATCTATGACTTGTGTGGTCTACTTAAATAGGTGAGCTAAGTCCATTAGATTTTCCAAAGAATTTGAACCATGCCAGAAGATGATAGATGCTCAGGAACTATTCTGACCCACATGCATGCTGAGGAGTAAGCTCGAGAATAGAGTTTAAAGGTTAGTTGGACAATAATTGGTGGAAATGTCTTTGATGTAGGTAGTAGGTGTCATGTCAGAGATTCCACTAGAAACTACTGGAAGAAGAAGAAATATTCCCCAAAGCAACTTAAAGCTCCTTTTTAAAGGTCTCGTATTCACGTCCGTAAGTTTTTATTTTCTAGATGTAGAGGCTTGGTTTGATATTTCCTTGATTATAACTTCCCTCATTTTTCATTTTATATGTTTGAGCTTTTGTTCCTTACTTCATCATGATTGTCAACGGTACCTCTGTTTCCACTTTTTCTTTTTCACTTATTTCCCATGTGGAACTTGAAGTTTTTCTTCTGGTGATTTTGTTCTACCTTCTTAGTTCATTTCTGTTTCTTTATTAATTTGTGAACAGATTCTGCTCTGGGCTCGTTTCATGTCCTTCTACCAACCTGGAGTTTTTCTTCTAAGTCTGCTACATCCCATGGATCCCATAAAGCATTCTGAGAAGCTGCCTACATTTTTTTTTCTGACTATAAATCCATATGGCTTAACATCAGACCAGATGATAAATTGAAGGTAGTTTTGCTAGAACTCCTGACCTGTTGTAAACATATACCGATCTTAGCCCTCTGTAGTGAACTGAATAGGGGCCCCCAAAAGACATATTCAAGTCCTACCCCCCAGTACCTGTGAA